GTATTAAAGAAATGCAATAAGAGTAAATTCAAATCAATGAACGAGTTTTCTTATGTAAAAAGAACTTATGTATACACATACGAAGTACTATGTCACACATGGGCAATGCACTAGTTCTGTGGTGGAGCAAACTGCAAAGCTTGGAACAACTACAACTACAATAAATATCAAATACAATAAAACAAAATACAATAAATATCATGGTTCAATGCCATTACGAATAAAACAGGAGATTCAGAACGGAGCTCTGTGCTCGAGGATTTTACAGCCAAATGAAATTAAAATTATCATACGAATATTTGATCGATGCACATGACAAAAAAAATATTGTGCTGGCGACTACTTGCATTCACGGAAATTCTAAATAGAGAGAATTATTATAATTTTTATTATAATTAGACTAAACTTCCCCACCACGAATCATATCAGCATAAGTTGCCCCCTCGCCTCTTACTAGGAGGATGTGATACATGTTACAAACCAGATCTACTAATACAATTAAACTTTCTGTCCAGAAAGAATTAGAATTCCTTTATTGTCGATTTCCACGGATAATATATAAAAATACAGGGTTAAGAAGATTTCACTAAAAATTTAATATATTAAGAATCGTGGAACGGGACAAGTTAAAATAACTTGGAAATACTTCGTTGCTCCTCACCTTAGATGGAATCGATCGAGATATTTAAACAAAACAGACGAACTCTTAAATTCACGTATTACTCGTATCTCGAAGTAAAAGTCTCAAATTAAAAACCGTCAAAGGCTTTTCCGATTATTATTATTATTATTATTATTATTATTATTATTATTATTATGTGTACGCGCGTAAGCGCACGCATCTATACATACCCATGGCCACACTATCATCATTATTGTTATTTACGTTGAAGCTAGATAAATAATGAACGAACGAACTCGCGTGTGTTATTCCGGCAGCAGACCAGAATATTTGCTGACCAGAATATTCGATACAGTTTGAATGTGCTTTGACCAATCTTTTTTTTTTTTTTTTTTTTTTTATTTTTTTTTTTTTTCCAAATATGTTACGTGTGAACAACGTCAAACTGTATCAACTGTTATATAGTGTACCTTCTCACTTAACTTGTATTTCAGTTAACAATTTAGCACACATCTTAGAATTAGGGGCTCTGATAAACAATGTGAATGTTATTTAATTAAGCGAACAGTCGCAATTGTCTTTGAAGAGCATTGAAAGTCGCTAAAGCAATAATTCTCATAATTGCCTTCGTAGAAAATGTATATATATAATGTCACGTATATATTCTATTCTGCATTGTTCTATTGCCACATTCTTTATCAAATTTAGTCAGCCGAGAGTAATCAACTTGAACACGCTTGGTTCATTGGAAGATTTAAGAAAGAAGTTTGAACGAAGGAGAGCTGAAAGCTTTCTAAGATCAGACTTCAATGTGTCAACACTTGTGCTTTTCGCTTTGCCGTACTATGTATGTATCCGCGCGTAAAAGAACAAGGCAATTTCACACTTTCGATGCTTGAAAAAAAAAAAAAAAAAAAAAAAAAAAAAAAAAAAAAAAAAAAAAA